TTTTTTCCAGGTGTATATATTCATTTTATAAAGACCATCCATATCATTAACACATATACAAATATGTATGGCAGATTACAATATATTTTTAACTAATATCCAAATACCAGTTTGAATATTACACTTCAGAATAGTTTTCTATACCAAATGGTCAGAGCCAGGTGGCATGCCATTTTAAATTTAATCTCAACCACTAATGTAGATACGGTTGCAAGAACTTAACTAGGGGCACATTCAGATTCATGACCATAATTAGGTTTTACGTTTTGCTATATATTGAGACAAAAAAGAAATGAAAATTTAGTTCCTAATTTTCAGAAAAATCAATTTTGAGGCCACAAGTAAAAATATCATAAATAAGTTGGGAGACAATGAGTTAAAAAGTGATGTAGGACAGAACTTCAAAATCTAAAAATATTAAATGCATTTAATTAAAGATAGGCATGTACCTAAAAAGATAAAAAAAAAAGAAGATCAAACCTAACTGACTTACTAAAGACATCAGAGAAAATCAGGGATAAATGCCCCAAGTTTAAATCAAAAGATAAGTTGGAAGACATACAGACTATAGGAAGGCTACAGATTTAGTTAAAGATACACAGGAAATTCTACAGGAAATATAGCTGGCTGATAATGGTAAAACTAACAGAGTATTTTTGAATTGTGTTAAATTTAAGCCAAATGTTAAAATTTGCATTGGAACCTTAGAGGATACTGATAGCATGATTTTGTTGCAAACTATGAAGTAGATAAGCTTTTAAATGTCTTTTTTACCTCTTTTTTTACAAGAAAGGTTATTAGCAATATTTCTGTCCCTGAGTATTCAATGAGAAATACAGGAATTGACCTGAACCATGCATTTATTAGTCCCTTGGTTGTAAGTAGAAATATTAAGAAATTGAAAGTAAATAAAGGACCAGAGCCAGATAAGATTTCCTCTGAGTTTCAACATAGGTCAAAGTTCAGATATGGAAGCCATTCTCTTTCATTTTTAACAGATCAATAGAGAATGGGCAGGTGCCTGAGAATTGTAGTTGCTTATCAATATGTTACTCCTATTTTTGAAGGAAGTGTTAAGAGACGCCCCAAAAATCCTAAGGCAGTTAGTCTTATCTTTACAGAGGGAAAAATTTTAAAGTTTGATAAAAAAAGCTTTACAAAATAATTTATTATTGAAATATTATATCATAAATGAAGAGCAACATAGATTCACCACAGGAAAATCTTGTTTTACTAATCGTTCTTCTTTTTTTTTCAAGAACATTAATTGTAGAGCTGGATGATTAACTTGATTACCTAGGAACATCACTTACATCAGTGTCTCATGAACCAAAATCATGATTAGATTGATTAACATCACTAAAATAATCAACTAATTAAAATTAGCATTTCTGATTATTACTGTGTTTTGATCATCCTAAGTATCCACATATTGCTATTATGATTTTTCATTATTAATTGTGTCATAACTAACAAAAACAATCAATTAATCAAAATTAATATGTTCAATTATTACTATATTCCATTATTTCAACTATCCAAGTCTTGTAAGAAAAATCGACTAGTTTAATGTAACCGATTAATCAACCCAATGTTTGACTGTTTACCACATTTCATTAATCACCAAGCTCTACTTAACTTTTATCTGGATAAGAGAAAGGGTGTTGAGATGGTGTTCTTACATTTGCAAAAAAGCTTCTGATAAGGTGACATACAAAAATTAGCTAAGAAAATCATACCCGTAGGGTTTGGGAAAAAGACTAGTTAATTGGACTGTTGGGTGGTTGGATGAGAGAAAACAAAAGGTTGTTTTTAAAGGAGTCCAGTCAAACTAGAACCATGTTACTAATGAAGTTCTACAGGGATAAGTGCTTGGGCCTTTACTTTTTCATATTTACATTAATAATATCAACAGAGTTGTCTACTGACAACACTATAGTTGGACTAACTTTTGGGAAATAGCTTTTCATTATAGTAAATACAAGATGAAGCATTATGGTTATCATAATTTGGATCATGTTTAATACAGATGGGAACCAACTCTATAGTATGACTGGAAAAAAAGGATATTGGCATATTGATGGAAAAGTCACTCAAACCACTGAATAGTGCTCTGTTGCTAGTAGTAAAGCTAATACAATTTTCTGGTGTATTTATAGCCATGTTGATTTTAAGTCAAAAGAGGTAATTACTTCTGTATACAAATCACTAGTTAAGCCTCATATAGAAATTGTGTACAGTTTTGGTCTTCTTAGCTAAGAAAGAATACTGAATTATTTAGAAAGGGTTCAGAAAAATCCTACCAGGATAATTTCAGGGATTGGTTATCTTACAAGGATAGATTAAGATCTAAAGTTATTTTTTCTTGAAAAAAAGAAGGGTAAAATGTGATCTTATTGAAGTTTAAACAATTATCTAGGGGTTTGATAGAATATAGGCCCCTGATTATTTTGTGCTATATTTTAAAGATAACAGGATGAAAGGATATAAAAATTTAAAGATTTTGAAAAATACAGGCAAGGTTCCAGTTAAATAATGATCAAATTTTCATTAACAGTACCTGATGGCAGCACTTCACAGATATTTACGAGTAAAACTGATGATTTCCTGAAAAGTAAACAGTGGATTAAATTTTTATTTTTCACAAGGGGGGAGTATGCAAGGACAGCCTGGAAGGATCAAGTGGTCTTTTGTTGTCTATACATTCAGGTTATGTTAAATGTCTCTTAAAATGGAAAACATGAGAAAATTATTTTTGTTTCTATATTTCTATTATAAGTTCAAGAATGAATCACAAATATTTCATGATGAATTATAATAATTAAAAATAAACTAATAATCAAATTAAAAGTTTATTCTTATGCCTTAACAAGAGAAAGTCCAATTAATATTACAGCCCAATATGCACAATTTTGTACACAACGCTAAATAAATATACTTGTTTCAGCTAAATAGTGAATATGTACTACAAATATCTCATCTAGGATGAAGTAGTTTCTATTAATTAGTTTAATAGTCAACATAAGCATTAATTAGCATCATATGACTTCAATTTCAGTTGTTACACATTAGGTCTGTCAAACAAACAGTAAAGAATATGCTCTGCTACAAATTTGAAACCACTTTAATTTATAATGTTAATTAGTCTGATGTGAAAGTGGAAAATGCAAGTGAAAGTTTCAGTTTCTATAAGTGATTACAGCCTCCATTTCTAATATAATTTTAAAATATTATATATCAAATTTTTAATGTAACTTTTAAATTTTATATAACAAATAATTTATATAAATATATTTTTTATACAAAATTTGGTAAGGCTTAATTTGCAATTATTTTATAAAACTTGTAATTTTCAACTTACTATTACAATGTTAGTTCTTTAATAGTATTGCTGCCTGTACTGTAGTCATACTGATGATAATGGAATGGAGGCCTTCTTCCCTTTCATTTTGTATATGTAACACTGGAGCAGTGATTCTCACACAATAAAAATTACCCCTTTGTCTTTAGACTTGTGTCCCCCCATCCCATATAAATACCAGTGAAAAAAGAAAGAAATCCAATATACTACTAATCACTAATTATTAAAAATTGTAGTGTACTATAGGGGCAAATAGGCTGGCATGTATCTATACAATAACTTGTGTTGTATATTGCATACTTATTAGTGAGAAGGGTTCAGGAACTTTCCATACACCCTAGGTAGTAGGATACATATTCCCAGAGGAAGATGCACCCCCAGTTTGGAAATCATTACTGTTCACTGTACAGTAGAACTAGAACTAATTCATGCCATTATTAATATTACCAAGTAACCCGAACTTCTAATTTCAGAAAAGTAAAATATTTTAAATTTCAGTGAATCTATTTTACAGTTTACAAGGTTGAGGTTATTAATTATAATACCTATAATTATAAATACAAAAGACAAGTTATCTTAAAATTTTATAATAATAACTTTGTTTCCAAAGAGTTCTTAATTTATTATTACTAACTATTAGTATCACAAATACAACACTTTACTATACAACATAGTGTTACTCAGTTGCTGTTACTGTTAGAAGTAGCACTAACAGTAACGCAGTTCTAACAATAACAGTTACAGAGTTAGGCCTATTGTCATACTGAAAACTGTTATTGTAGTAATTGTTCTTACTGTGCTAAGCTAAATAAGTAAAGTTCGTCTTTACGATAGCATTATTCTCTTCTTGTTATGGAATCTCGTTATTTCATAGATTTAACTTGGTTTTAAAATTGAAGTAATGAATGTTATTGTTAACACATACTTTTCAAATAAATAAAACTGTGTTGACCTACCTCCCTTGAAAGTTGAACACAGAAAATAATATTTTTTTTCGAAACTTAGTAATTCTCAGATCAATTAAAATAAAAGAACGTGAATGAATTACACACAGTACAATCTAAGAAACTACTATCTTCCTCTACCACTTTCCACCCTACTGAAGCAATCTTGTTCAACCAACACAATATCGCCACCTGACTTTATGACGTCAAGAACCACATACCCTAGATTCGAGTTGATTCGCTGATATTTGGTTTGTTTCGATAGTGTGTACATTGAATCGTTAGTTGATTTATATAACATTGTATCGCAACATAAATTGTACAATTAATTATGAAACCGTAAAAAATAAATAACTTAGTTCTTCCATTTAGCTTATCTCTACATTTAATTCTCTTCATAGGAACAGTGGAATTATGTGTAGAATCAGTATATTTTCAAAACTTCTTTGATCTTGTGTCTTTCTAAATGGCAGATTACCGGTTACTATCGGTACGATGGGGCAGCAGTAATTTCAGTAAGTTCACTAACTTACAACGCTAAAATTCGGGATTTGATTTCCCGGGCTGGCCACAGAAGATAGCCAAATATGACTTTCCTCTAAAACAAACAAACAATACTATCGATATAATTATTTTGCTCTATGCTCTTGTACTACCAGCACTGGCGAAAATGTAATGGCAAAACGTTGACTGAAATAAAAAAGTTTTATTATTGTTATATGGAGAGTAAAATTCGTTTTTCTTTTCAACTTTATTGTCAAAATGCTTTTGGTTAAACTTACTTACCTCGAAGAAATTATCAGTAGGTTTATTCAACATTAACTTGACATTAATAGGGTTTTTAAGTCCTATTCAATCACCAATACAATAACCGAAAATAATTTAGGTATTTGAATAATGTTAGAGCTCGTGCCTAAATCATTACTTCACATTATATATGAAACCAAGTATTTATCCCCAGTACCACAACGGTATGTCTACGGACTTAGAACGTTAGAAACCGGATTTCGATATCCGTGGTGGGAAGAGCATAGATAGCCATTGTGTAACTTTGTGCTTAATTACAAACAAACATCTTTTCAATTACAACTAAGGTAAAATTGGAAGGAGAATCTGTGAAGTTGAGGCCTAATGTTTTCTTTAATTGGCTGTGCCGTTTGCTATGGACTGCAGTTTCGACTTGTTACGACAGCGGAAGTCACGTGACGCTGCTAGCGCATGCGTGAATGAGTTTCTCGAATTATCAGGAAACTCCTCGAATTTTGTCGAAGTCTCTTTGTTAGTTAGTTTGTTTGTTATGGATTTCGCGCAAAGCTACACGAGGGCTATCTGCGCTAGCCGTCCCTAATTTAGCAGTGTAAGACAAGAGGGAAGGCAGCTAGTCATCACCACCCACCGCCAACTCTTGGGCTACTATTTTACTAACGAATAGTGGAATTGACCGTCGCATTATAACGCCCCCCACGGCTGAAAGAGCGAGCATGTTTGGTGTGAAGGGGTTTCGAACCCGCAGATTGTGAGTCGAACGCCCTAACCACCTGGCCATGCCAGGCCTCTCCTTGTTAGTATATAAGCCTGGCGAGAAAAGCCAGCAGACGATGATGAATGTATAGTTAAGCGAACAAATAGGTACGGTTTTTCGGGAAATATAAAGTGTGTGTTTCGTACTTGTAGAGAACGAAATTATCGAGATTGTGAATCGCTGTGATTTATAGAGTGTATTATAAAAGTTGTTAAGTTTAAAGTGACGAGAAACGTATTGATTGTGGAATTACTG